GTGACTTGATTATCGAAGGCTTTATTAAAATCCTTTTTTTGAACAAAAAAAATTGGCACAGAAGCTTTTGCTGTTGGGTGGAAGCAATCCGTAGAATGGAGCTAGGGGCGGTTAACATTTGCACCCTCACTGATGCCATCAGTTGATGACGTCACAGCCAATCAAGTGTTGAAAGATTATTACACTTTTCAATGCTATCATTTTGGACTCTCGTAAAGATTAAATGTCACTTGGCATTTTAATGATTACTAATTTAAAAAAAACCGGTTTTACCAGAAAGACAACGATTTTACGAAATGCGAACGCATTTTACTTTAACATACCTGGAATATTTAAATGAGGGTTTAAACAAACCGAAATACAATTGCTACATTAGGGACCTCCCTTTCCAACTCTTTCCTCGGATTGTTTTGCTTTTATTGGTAAATTTTTGTCTCAACACTCAAAAGGGAAATCAAAATGTCTTATAATGTCACAATACTGCAAATATTTTCAAAAGGTTTTATTTGTGTATGAAATAATAACAGGATATGTCTTTGAGTCGAAATGGGTTAGAGCATATTTGATTTTATCTCTATTTCGTCTGTTCGTATTTGTAGACGAGGAATTGGATGTCTCGTAGGATGAGATGTGCCATGAAACCTGGAGTGTAGGTAAAGTAGCTGAAAGGACAAAGAACGGTAAGGAGAATTTGGTTAGACATATGAAAGATGAGTACAGCGCATAAGCATGCGGCTTTAGTCCTCACTAACCTCGCAAAGTGCCGACCGACAATGACATGCCAATGTCCTCCCAATTTGTTGTTCAAATCAATACGAATGCTCTTGGCCATCTCATCCTCTGTGCAATAGAGCAGATCGGCTTTGTGCACGGACTGCAGAATAATTCTTCGCAAATAATCATCGACATCGGCCGCTTTGAATTGGGGCTTTGCACACTGCGGGTTCCCGATGGCGGCTTGCATGGCGGTGAATGTAACACTGCCTTCAATAGGCCTAAAGTAATGCTCACCACACTTGTCTTGATTAACTCCTCTTCCACCAATGATGTTTGTGATGCTGCCATCGGTGCGGGCGTGCACCCAATTTATCGATCAGACAGCACGCAAGCAGCGTAACAAAGGGAGTGCTTAAAAATCATGCCAATTAAAGAGCGCAAGCGAACTTCGTCTAATAGGGTGAATGTAGTTTTACTCATTGCAAAGTAGCATAATTGGTTAGTTAGTGCCAAGTGAACCTCCATTTGTGAAATTCTACTGCCCACTCTCCACCTTCTGGCATTCGAAGGGAAATTTTGAGTAGGCGGGTGTGAATTTTAACACGCAATAGGAAAAAATTGCAGATATACGAGGTAGTAGAGTTTGAGAACACATTGTAGTGGAAAAATCACTGCTCTGGGAGGAAAATAACCGGATAAACAATGTGCAACGCTTAAAAAACACCATTTTAGCAATCATTTTAAATATTTTACAGTTTTTTTATCAGTGGAGGTAAATCAACGTAGGATAAGACTTTAAAATAATTCAGCCTTCAGTAAAGCTAAAACAATGTTTGAACCAACTTGGTTAGGTGTTGTTACACCACGAATTTTGATAAAAGGGACCAGAGAATGCAACTCGTCGAGCATCAACATTACGATTAACGGTAATGATTAGGAAAAGAGCCACAAGTTTTAACCTTAATTCACCTTAACACTTTCGCCAGTCACTTTGATCAGTAATGTTGGAATTACACGAGGGCTTTCGTAGGAAATTCTGACCCATTTGGTGCAATGTCTGAGGCGTTGACTGCCGGGCGTTTCCCAAACATTTTGCAAGTGAAATCTATCTAAAAATTTAGAGGGGTGGGTAGCAGGCTCTAGGGAACTATTTTCACATTCGTGTTGATCCCAGAAACGCATCATTCAAATGTTGATCTCATCGACTTTGCATCCTGCCTCATTTCCGTGACTCGCATCACCATTTTAAGGCGAAACGTCGTATATGGTAAAAGATGTATTACACAAATGTTTTACCCTAGTTTGGATGTAAAAATTGAGTTTAAGCTGAGAGACACTCCATAGTTCCGACCAAAATGGGAAGGATTTTTCATAGTTACCTTAAGCTTAAGACAATAAAATCTTAG